GCAAACCTCACTTTCTTGACAACAGATCTACATCTGCCCATTTAAGTGAACAGGTTAAATGCCACGCTGTTGCCATTGATGATCAAAGCAATGGGATCACTGCAGAAGCAAAACAAGCACATTGTAAAACAATTCCTAGAAAGAACCAGAACAAAAATGTCAGTGAAGGTGCAAATTCTTTAGAAATGGACAAGGAAAATCTTGATATGACCGGTAACAATGGGAATACTAAAAGAAGCCAGGCTGTAGAAATGAATACTAAACATCTTGGGATGATAATGGTTGATAGGAAGCTTGGAAAAACAAACTTTCAGGCTAGTGGTCCAAGTCCTTGTGCAAAGAGTGTGTGTTCCTTACAAGAGCAAAAGAAACAAGTCCCTGAGAGTATTGCCACTGACACCTGTGCATTCGTGTTTTTACAAAGTCAAGAAGTTGTTGTGTCTCAGCCTTTGGAAAAAAAGGCTACAGTTTCCTGTACAAGTGACAAAACAGGCAGGTTTTCAGATGATGAAAACATGGACATAACCAAAACTCTTCCTGCTGCCTTTGATGCTCCTCCTATTAATACAGTACAAGAATACGAGAATAATCATAATCAAAATTGTGTAATATCCAAGCAGCAGCAAACCCAGACCTTTCAGTTTTCTGGTAGTTCTTGTGTAGATACCACAAGTCAGACTGCAACAGCAGAACGGGGGGATTTGAAAATGAACACAAATAAGCAAACTGTTACTCCCTTGGCTCCAAATGGTTCATTTATTTCCAGTAATGAGTCTGTTCCCTCTGGAATGAAAGGAAATGAACAACTTGGAATAAAAACAGATTGCCAGAACTCAGACAGGCTGGAGAAAACCCTTACTCTGAAGGTAGTAAACAAAGCATTGTCAACTGGAGAAGATTCTGAGAGAGAATTTTCAATCGGTAAAACAGTTTCTTCAGAAGAGGACTTTCAAAATCCTCGATCAGGTCATGGCCTGCACTTGAGGGCTGCTGAAGTGCCGTTTCTAGCCAGTATTCCTGAACCACCTAAGGCAAGTTCCCAATTGCCTTCACTTTTAGAAAAATCAGTTGTGATTCCCTCTGGTGAAAACATGGACTTGACTGGAAACTATGCAGTAATGGTTCCTGATCACAATATCAATGCTGGTTTATCAGAAAGAAAAGCAGTACCTGGATACCTTGTTGCAGATGAAAATAAAATAATGTCCTTAAAAAAAGGGGTCACAGTGACAATAAATAGTCAGGAGCAGCCTACGTATGATGTGTACTCCTTGGTATCTGGCAATAAGATGTCAACCATGACTGGTTTAAAACATTTGACTTTTGCAGATGAAAAAACTACCATATTTTCAGAAGATGCTGATATGGACATCACCAAAAGTCATACAGTTTCAGCAGACAAAATAATTTTGTGGAGTAAAAGTTCAAGCAATGACATACCCTTAATTTCTGGGGATAAAACTTGTGTTTTTACCTACGATGACCCAATGGAAATAAGTAGACTTGATATGGCTGTCATTGATAAATCTATGGAAAAGGCTGTATCTCAAGGGATGCTTAACACAGCTAGAAGGACTGGAAGGAAAAGCTTGAGGGGAACAGCAGGGGAAAGGACTGTTTTATTTTCACTGAGTGATGAGAATAATGATATGGAGATCACAAAGAGCCATACAGCTGCAATAGGCCATGAAATTGTCTTGCAAAAGGAGGTATGGCCTCATTCTCTCTCTTCAGCTCATCCTGTTAAAACTGTTATGTTCACAGATAGTCAGGCTGACGACATTACCAACTCTTGCTCTGCTGATAAAATGACCATAAAAGTTGTACATGATGATAAGCCGAACTTGGTTGGGCAGCAGGTTAGACAGCAAGCACTTTCAAATAGCGAAGCTACGACGTTTGCTGTGGAGGATATGGAAATCACTAAAACCCGTAATGTAGCTTTGGAAAATTCTCTGCGAGGTAGGCAACCCAATCAGCCTGTGCCTTTTAATGCCACAATTATATTCACAAGTTACCAGGCTGACATGGAAATGACCAAGTCTCGTTCTGTTGATGAACATATTGGAAGTGTCTTACATGAGGATAGATTAAACCTGGTGAAACAGGTTGGAGAGGAGGCTGCTTCACATAGCAAAACCATCGTTTTTACTGTGGCTGAGGATATGGAGATCACCAAAGCTCAAACAGCTATATTAAGTAGTATAACTGATGTACAGGATGGAGAGTCCATTCGAGCCGTTTCAGCAGTTCCTGCTGATAAAATCGTGTTTACCCACAACCATAGTGATATGGAAATAACTGCATCTCATACGATTGCTGTTGATAACAATATTGATGGATTTGAGAACCAAGAAGCATCACATAAAAGCACTCAGCAATCAGACTTGCACAGGGCATTGTTGTCTTCTTGCAGTGATGAAATGGATTCCCCGCATACGAAAGAACTGAACGACGAGTATCATGCAAAATCTAAGGATAAGCCCAGCATTCCCTCTTCTGCTTCTTCAGTCTCAGCATTTCCCAGTGTAAAAGGAGCTACCAAAGTCCCCAGTGGCAGGACACCATACTCTGTTTGTTCTGTCTTGCTTCCAGAAGAGGTTATGGATGTGCAGGCACCACAGGAGCTTAACCTTCCCACAGATATTTCTGTCCCAGCAAACAGTGAGCAGGATCTCATACCACCAGAAAACCTGAAATCAAGGAGAGTATCTTTAAAGCTTCCAAGTCCCATGGATTGCAGTGAAGAAAGTGGTGATTTGGTATCCCATGTTTCATTGCCCATCAAGCAAGCAGATTCTTTGAAGGGTTCTCCAGATGCCTGTAGTACTCAGAGAAACCAAGTATCGAAAGATGATTCGTCTAGACATGAAGATTTAGCTACAGATTTAGGCTTGGCTGGAGTAAGCCTTGTTCCACTTCCTAACAAAGAATCAAAGAAAAATGAGGGGCTGTCAGCTGAAGGGGAGACACCTCCGAAAGACTTTCAAATTAACTCCGAACAAACTGAGCAACTTTTGGTCAGTGACAGTCCAAGAGATCAAATAGATGCCCCTCTTGCACCTGCATTATCAGGTATTTTAAATGTTCGTTCAAAACTGGAAAATATTAGAAGGAAATCTGCAGTCCCCTCTGTTTCTGAAACTGCTTTTTCTGACCAGTTGCCCAAATCATCAGCTCAGTCAGAGGATACCTTGAGGTTAGGAAAAAATGAACCAAATAATTCATTTCATACCGAAGAGCAGGAGAACACTTGTCTTGAATCTGGAGCTGCTCCCATAGATGCAAATTTAGGCATGCCACTTAAGGATAAATTTCAAGGAACAAACGTCCCTCTAGGTATCTTCCTGCCTAAATTACCAAACAGAAGAAATCCTTCTGTTTCCAGTGTACAAGACACAAATGCAAAACCTTCGGACAAAGGAGAAGCACCAGTGTCAGCCGTAAGTGTGAACACTGCTGAAACCCAAGGTAGGCAGAACTTCAGCCCTTCTCAGTTTATAGCAGAAGAATTTCTTCCTGTCTGCCTACAAGAAATGGATTCAAATGAATCTGTAAGCTCTGAACTTGTGGAAAGTGCTTGCAATGACATAAGCAAAAACCAAACCTCCCACCATGAAAAGAATCAATTTGAAGAGACAAAGACTTGCAACAACACAAGAAGAGCTTTGGAACAAGATGAGGAGGGTCTTCCAAGCCTAAAGAAGCTCAAGAGGGATGAAAACCTGGATGGTGAGGCCTCCCAAGACTTGCAGGTGAGACTAATCACTCATTGCAAGGACACAGTGAACACTAACAGGGCTTATCTTTAAATTTCAGGGTGTAACAGATCTATTGGTAGGTTTTCTTGTTTCTCTTGATCACCAGTTTGCTGTAATTTTGCTGTGTCTTCCCTGTATTTTTCATTGTTTTGCCCTAATAGAAGAATCAGGTTGGTGTGTGCAGCTTTCCTGAACCATGCAAAACAGACAGAATAAGGGCTATGTCAATTCTAAATAATTCTCTCCATACTATCCTTTTAATCCTTTGCTGACTAAATACTCTCATCCTCTGAACTAAACTATTTGCTAGTTGTTGCTTAGGCACAACGATAGAGTAAGGCTTAACACAATTACTTAAAATCCAAACGTGGATGTTTAGTTTAAATTAGCTTTTTTATAAACAGCATAAAGTGCAGCTGAATCGAGAATATCCGTGCAAATATGGAACAGCAGTCTGACCTTAAAAATGAGTTTGTACATTATCAGTAGAAACTTTCTAGCTCCAAAAGCTGGAAGGGTGTGCTGCGATGGCTGCTGCTTTGGTGGGGAAATGAATGAAGGATTTTGCAGCTTTACTTCCTATGTGTCATCGTAGGACATGGCTTAAGCAGCCGTATGCTGCTCTGTCATGCTGATTATGTGAAATGTCCCGATACTAAAAATGAAACAATCCTGAATGTGGAGAAATGGCTACAATAAACTACTGATTGACTTAGTCTTGTATTGTTCGTATAACTCTCTTAACATTTTTTTTTAATATTAGTTTACTTTTGGTGCTGCATCTCAAAACCAAGTAGAAGCTCATGAAGGTGAAGATCCTCCAATTCTATCAGCTAAAAACCCTGACTGTACTCATGCCAGCACCAGTAGCTCCCTGGATTCTGTGAAGCCTGACACCGAATTAACAAGTAAGGCTTCCTTTGTGGTGATAGTCTCAAACCTCGTGTTCTTTACGCTTATTCAAGGAAGATCCCCACCCGTGCTTTTCTCTTCTGGCTAAGAGTCCAAGCTGTTCAAGGAAAACTGAAATGGGAAGCGTAAGGAGCAGAATTTAAGCACAGCTTTGGTTTCAAGGGCAAGTTGGGTTGATGAGGCAGCTTAGTTACCTTAGCACAGAGCAAATCCCAGTCTTAAACTTTACTGGCCCAAAGATGATTTTAAGCTGGTTCCATGCAGAATGAGTCCGCATGTCTCAGCACTGCTTTCTTGGAAAAAGACTCCTTGGAAAGCATCGAAAGGACAGGGTCTAAGCAGATTGAGCCTCCAAGTTTAATTGGCTCTTGCTAATTAACTGATACCTAACAATGAGGCAGAAATCTGCCAGTCATCTGGTCAGTGATATCTTGCCTCTACTTACAAAGCCAATTTCAGTTTTGACCTCCTGCAACTATGAAAGCATATGGCTTATCCCATAGAAGTTGGGCTCTTTTGGGTGAGAAACTGGCACTTGTTGGCTCAGAACTTGAACACCATCAGGATGACCATGAGCCAGCAATGTGATCTTGCGGCCAAGAAGGCCAATGCCATCCTGGGGTGTATCAGAAGGGCTGTGGTTGTAGGGCAGAGAGGTTCTCCTTCCCCTCTACTCTGCTCTGGTGAGACTGCATCTGCAATATTGTGTCCAGTTCTGGGCCCCTCAGTTCAAGAAGGACAGGAACTGCTGGAGAGAGTCCAGCAGGGCCACAAAGATGATGGAGGGAGTGGAGCATCTCCCTTCTGAGGAGCGGCTGAAGGAGCTGGGTCTCTTTAGCTTGGAGAAGAGGAGACTGAGGGGTGACCTCATTCATGGGGATCAATTGGGAAAGGGTGAGTGTCAGGAGGAAGGAGCCAGGCTCTGCTCTGGGATGTCCAATGCCAGGACAAGGGGCAATGGGTGCAAGCTGGAGCACAGGAGGTTCAACCTGAACATAAGGATAAACGTTTTTACTGTAAGGGTGACAGAGCACTGGCCCAGGCTGCCCAGGGAGGTTGTGGAGTCTCCTTCTCTGCAGACATTCAAAACCCGCCTGGCCGTGTTCCTGTGTGACCTGGTCTGGTGATCCTGCTCTGGCAGGGGTTGGACTGGATGAGCTTTGGAGGTCCCTTCCAACTCCTGAGATTCTGTGATTCTTTCTCAGTTTTATGACTTTGTAGTATGTTACATATAGCTCTCCTCCCGTAGAAAAGTGAACTCTGTCATTTCATTACTGCTCTGACATAGATTTTATGTTCTGTTAGATCTAGTTCTCCTCTTCTTATTTGTCCCAAGCTGCTGTGTCTTCAGTTGCTTCATTGAGCACTGGAAACACACATGAAGTTCAAACTCTACAGTAAAATTGCTTTTTTGCTGGAGCTAATAAGCTTAGATTCATATTTCTGATAGTATATTATTAACCTCAGCAATACTCATTTTTCTCTAGTTCAGCGAAGCAGCCAGATGGAGTCTCAGCTTCTCGGAGACAGCATTTGTGAAGAGAACTTACGGGAGGTATGTAAATAGCTGAAAGATGCTAACTGCTTGTCCTAACAGGAAAAATACTTGTGTGCATATATGCAAGTAAGCATTCTTGCTTGAAAAATGCATTTATCTGTATGTTTTTCCTAATATTTACAGAAATTTCAGAACGGTGTTATCACAGTTGGGGAGTTTTTTACCCTTCTTCAAGTCCATGTTCCGCTTCAGAAGCCCCGGCATAGCCATCTTCCAGCTAGTGTGAGTATATCTGTCCTTTGAGATGCTTAATATAACTGTCCTTAAATTATATTCCTTTGTCTTTTTTTTTTTATTATTATTTTTCATCAACAAACCGGTTGGTATTAAAGGTCTTTAAGTGAGTTAAACCAGAAGTCGGTTTCCACCTTGACAAGTGTGCTGGACACTGCATGTTTCCTCTTGTCTCTTTGCTTTTTCACCTCTGATAAGTCTGGTTTTTTTTCTTCAGTGCTGAAAAACAGATTTCAATGTCTTCGTGGAATACCATATATTCAGGATTATCTGTTTTTGCTTTTTGAACTTGTTTTAAGGCTGAGAAGTTTGAAAGTAAGAATTAGAAGTTTTTTAAGCATGCAGGCAGGTCCCACTCATTGGTAGTACTCTGATGCTGAACAAGGCAGAAATCTTACTTTGCAGTCATCCTGAAAACAGGGCCTTCTAAAGGCACCTTATTTTCATAACAGTTTTCTTAAGACTAGTGTTTCAGGCTGAATTATTTGTACGTGTTTGTGTGGCCAACTGAATTTCTAACTGGATGCTGTCTCTGTTATCTGTCTGGGTTTCACCGATGATCTTTGAGGAATGGAACTTAAGTAATGAAGCAGTGTGGATGAGCTGCTTGGTTTTCTGTATGTAGGTATTATACTGATAGTGACCAATTTCTAATTGAAAAATAAACAACACTAGCACCCACTAAAAGCCCTAGGAAACTTTCTCTGAAGGGAAGGATTTAATGTCAGTTATTTATGTGCTTCAATATATAGGCAGCTTGCTGAAATACCCCATCATATTTATTTGATGTACCTAAGACTTGTTGAAAATTGAGAACTTTGATTCTGAATCAAGCGTAGCTATCTTGTTTTATTCTAGAGCACTCTTGTTACCTGGATAACGCACACATTATTTTTAAGTCTTTATCTAAAAGGAAGTTAACCTCTTTCCATATTTTTTGAGCTCTAGTGATGAGGCACATGTTCCAATAGGAAGTCCATGCTTAAAAATAAGGAAACATGGGGCGTAGAAGTGGAATAAATGATCTAAGGTTATATGACTTGCCTCAGAATGAAATATGACAAGTCCAAAATAAAAACAGTTATTTAAGTATGTCGGGCTACCCCCCATTAGGGTTTTTGTTTCATTTTTTTCTGTTCTGCAACCATAAATTTCCCAGGCCTGTTGCTGGTTTTTGCACACGAATTGATTCGAAGTTACTCTTTCTGAAAAATACGCATCTTTTTCTCTTTCTTCACAATTTTTCCTTCTATTTTCCCCAGTGTGCAGTCAGTGCACCACCTACTCCAGAAGACCTCATCTACAGCCAATATGTTTATCGCCCCAAGCTGCGTATTTATGAAGAAGATTGCCAAGCCCTTTCTCAGAAGATAGATGAGTAAGTGTTTTCCCAGTCACAGAGTGTATTAGTAATTTTATTTGTTCAGCTCTGGTTGCATACAGAGTGGCCTCAAGAAAGTTAATACATTGCGTATGGGAAAAATTAAAAATTATAGCCAGTTTATTACAGATTTAGATTTAGATGATATAGGGCTAACTTCTGGGGAGGAGTTGTGGTTATGGAGATAAGTAAAGCTTGACTTTTCCTCAAGTAATTTATCTTTTACTAATAGCGGGTTTCAATTGCACATCAGAAGAGTTAAAGTAAAACCCTCTAAATTGTTTCCAAAATGATCTAACATAGAAAGCAGAATCCTCAGCAAGTTCGCAGATGACACCAAGC